TAGAAAAATTATTTTGAGCTAAAACATCCCCTAATACTCTCACTATGCTGGATTAGTATAATTCTTCATTCTCGTTGTTCTGTTACCGGCTTACGCCGAAGAGCTCGTTATATCTTGGGGAAAGGTTTTCGCTAGTCGGAAATACTTTCTTGAGGACAGCGTCTAACGCGTCTCGAGCTATATTATTTTAAGTCTTTTTTGCAGGTTTATCCGGCCGATTTTCTACAACAATCTCAAGAAAGTATATGGCGTCGGATATGTCTGCACGTGTGATCTCACAAGGCGTTGTCGCTGCACTCATCACGGCCATGTTATTCTTGCATGTGTGGTGTGATTTAGACTGGTATTTGGATATATCTCTACGTATAATGCTTACTCTTTTTACTTTCCTACTTACAATAAGCCATACTTTAACACCAATTTTTGAGAAAAATATTATTCCTTTATTTAGTGGTAAAATGACAACTATGAAAAACAACAACCCACTAAAATCAAGTTTAAACTAGGTTAGTAGTGATGATAATTTTATTGCGGTTTTTTCTCAAAGTTGTAAAACTAATGATGTGAATGAGTGGGTGGTAGACTCCGGGGCTACCAAGCATATTTGTAAAAACAAAAATGCTTTTACCTCCTATACCATTATAGGAGATGGTGAAGAGCTCGTGTACCTAGCGGACTCTAAGACTGTTAAGGTGCATGGAAAAGGGAAAGTTCTTCTTAAACTCACATCGGGGAAAACTTTATCACTAAATGATGTGCTTCATGTGCCCGAGATTCGGACTAATTTAGTTTCTGTTTATCTCTTGGGAAAAGTTGGGGTTAAAGTTTCTTTTGGTTGTGATAATTTTGTTATGACCAAAAATGATGTTCTTGTGGGAAATGGCTATTGTAAGAAAGGACTATATATACTTGGCATTTCTGAAATATTGCATGATAATGCTTTTGTCTATTTAGTTGATTCTTATGATGTGTGGCATGCTAGATTAGGACATGCATGTAATTCTTATATTAAAATGCTAAATGATTGTGGTTTGATTTCTAGTAAAAATAAAATGATACTAGAAAAATGTGATGTTTGTGTTCAATCTAAACTAACCAAAAAACCTTGTCCCTCCACTTATAGGGAATCGGAATTGCTTAGCTTAATTCACACGGATTTAGGTGATTTAAAAAATACAATGACTAGAGGTGGTAAAAAATATTATATCACTTTTATAGATGATTTTTCTAAATACACTAAAGTTTATTTGCTTAAAAATAAAGCTGAGGCTTTTGATAAATTTTTAGTGTATAAATCCGAGGTAGAAAATCAATTAAATAAAAGGATTAAGAGAGTTAGATCAGATAGAGGGGGCGAGTATATTTTATTTAATGATTTTTGTGAAAAAGAAGGGATAATTCATGAGGTCACTCCGCCATATTCACCCCAATCTAATGGAATAGCTGAAAGAAAAAATAGGACACTAAAAGAGATGATGAATGCTCTTTTAATTAGTTCTGGTGCACCTGATAATCTTTGGGGCGAGGCTATTCTTTCTGCTTGTCACTTACAAAATAGGATTCCTCTTAAGCACAATAAGAAAACCCCTTATGAATTGTGGAAAGGTTTTGCACCTAATTTGAAATATTTGAAAGTGTGGGGGTGTTTAGCTAAGGTCTTATTGCCTGATCCCAAGAAGAGGAAAATCGGTTCTAAGACTTCTGATTGCATGTTTATTGGTTATGCTGAATCTAGTGCTGCTTATAGATTTCTTGTTTTGAAAAGTGATGTGCTTGAATGCGATACAATTGTTGAAACAAAAAATGCTGAATTTTTTGAAAATGTGTTTCCTTTGAAACGTGAACACAAGACCGTTGCACCATATAGTGAGTATGATCCATTACAAGGAAATGAAACCTTTAATGATGAACCCTCTAGTGATAGTGAGCCATTAAAAGAAAATGATTCTTTTAATGATGAACCTTCTCTTTTGAGAAGAAGTAAGAGGCCAAGGATAGAAAAATCTTTTGGAAATGATTTTTATACATATCTTGTTAATGATGAACCTTTAACTTATTCACAAGCTATTTCTTCCAAAGAAGCTCCTTTTTGGCTTGGGGCCATACAAAACGAAATTGATTCTATCAAACAAAATAAAACTTGGATTTTAACCGATTTACCGAAAGGTTGCAAACCAATCGGATGCAAATGGATTTTTAAAAAGAAATTAAATCCGGATGGTTCAATTGAGAAATACAAAGCGAGGCTTGTGGCAAAAGGGTTTTCTCAAAAGCAAGATGTTGATTATTTTGACACATTTGCACCAGTAACGCGTATTTCTTCTATACGAACTTTAATTGCCTTGGCTTCTATTCACAAACTTTTTGTCCATCAAATGGATGTTAAAACTGCGTTTTTAAATGGTGAGCTAGAGGAAGAAATTTATATGGTGCAACCGGAGGGTCATGTAGTTATTGGTCAGGAACACAAAGTGTGTAAGTTGATCAAATCTTTATATGGTTTGAAACAAGCTCCAAAACAATGGAATGAAAAATTTGATGAAGTGTTATTTGCTCATGGTTTTACCTCCCTAGAAGTAGATAAGTGTGTATACACTAAATGTGAAAATGGTGTGTGCATTATTATTTGCTTATATGTGGATGATATGTTAATTTTTAGTAGCAACCTTGAGTTAATAATTGAGACAAAATCCTTTCTTGCTTCAAAATTTGTTATGAAAGATTTGGGGGAAGCAAAAGTGATTTTGAGTATGAAAGTCATAAGGAAGGATGATGGTATTATACTATCTCAAGAGCATTATGCTGAAAAACTTCTAAAGAGGTTTGGACATTTCGATGTCAGCCCCGTGAGCACCCCTTATGACTCTCATACACATTTGAAAAAACATAAAGGTGATCCCGAGGCTCAATATGAGTATTCCCAAATTATTGGAAGTTTATTACACTTGATGAATTATACGAGGCCCGACATAGCTTATGCTGTCGGAAGATTGAGTCGATATACTCATAATCCAAGTGGGGATCACTGGACCGCGTTGAGGCGGTTACTCAAATATTTGAGAGGTACCATTAATTATGGTATATTTTATCGTGGGTTACCCGCTGTACTAGAGGGATACAGCGATGCTAACTGGGTTTCTGACTCAGATGAGATAAAATCCAATACTGGATATATATTCACCCTTGGAGGTGGTGCCATTACGTGGAAATCAACCAAACAAACTATAATTTCTAGATCCACTATGGAGTCCGAGCTTATTGCTTTGGAAGTAGCCTGTAGTGAAGCGGAGTGGTTGAAATCTTTCTTAGCAGAAATTCCGGTTGGTACAAAACCAATACCATCTGTGTCTATTCATTGTGATTGCAGAAGTGCAATAGATACTGCTAAGAAAATGTGTTATAATGGGAAGAATAGACACATTCGTTTAAGGCATAAAGTCATTAAACGATTATTGAAGAATGGAATTGTGTCCATTAATTTTGTGAGGTCACAAGGAAATTTAGCGGATCCTTTGACAAAAGCCCTAGGACGAAAATTAATAACCGAAACATCTAAGGAAATGGGACTAGTGTCACTTTGAAACGAATGGGGATGGGAACCCAACTTGTGTGATTGGAGATCCCATGAAGCAAGTTCAAATGGGTAATAACAAGTCTTCCATTTAGTTCTGCTAGCCTAACTAAATTTGCCCATTTCCATGATGTGAGATATAGGCTAGAAACCGCATTCTTTGAGAGGGTGAGCTAAAAGCTCTTAATGATTATCATAGCCCTTACTTTTAGGGTGGTGTGCAAAAGCGGTACACACTTGATGATATCACCTATATGAGTGTGAGGTGGGGCCGCCTCTATGAAGCATGACAAAACTTCTAGAGCACTCATGAACACCAAGCACGCGCATGGCCTTATGGCGCACAACGGCGTAATAACGAGAAATTGTGCGGGCCGGGGTGAGACACGACCGTTAAGACCCTGATTTACCAATAGTAGCTTGTTGGTTCAATAAACTATACGTTTCACCAAAAGCTCGGTTCATTAAGACTTAATCGTCTCGGTTTGGTTCAAGTCTACGGACACCAAACTTAAAGTCTCATTCTTTTAATCCAGCAGACATTTTCTAAACTATTTTCTAAACTCCAAAAATTATTCATTTGAAATATGTGGGGGTTTGTTGGAAATATTTTAAGTATTTCAAATGAATAAAGTATAAATTATTTTTTCATTAATTTTGTAATCAACTTTGACACGTTACATTTATTTTACTTTTTTGTTCGCTATTGAACTTAATCAATTTTATAAATTAAGTTTTGTACGTTATTGTTCAATAGTGTGTATTAATTAAATCCAAATAAAAGATACTTGCTATCATAACGGTAGCTTCACCGTTGGAGTTTATTATTATTCTTAAAGTATATTTATAACATTAAATTAAAGGCTCCAACGTTCATATATATGTTAGCTGGGTATATACGTGAAAAAATATACGTTTGCATGGAGCTGGGAATATAGATGTGTGTGTGTTCGGCTATCAGCTTCTCGAGGTGATAGAAAAATTATTTTGAGCTAAAACATCCCCTAATACTCTCACTATGCTGGATTAGTATAATTCTTCATTCTCGTTGTTCTGTTACCGGCTTACGCCGAAGAGCTCGTTATATCTTGGGGAAAGGTTTTCGCTAGTCGGAAATACTTTCTTGAGGACAGCGTCTAACGCGTCTCGAGCTATATTATTTTAAGTCTTTTTTGCAGGTTTATCCGGCCGATTTTCTACAACACAAGGTACATTTACATCAAAGTTAATAATATCCAAATGAGTATTGTTTATATTCCAATAAGCAATGCACAACATCGAAATGACTATAACAAAAAAATTATAAGCAAACACAACTAACACTTTTCAAATGCAAAATCAGCAATTACAACTTACATAAATATCCACATACAAACTACTATCTATTGTATAATGTACTTTTTTACCTCATAAACAAGATTAGAGCTCTCAATATAGTTAGATCAAGTGACACTAAACCTAAAAATCTTCATGAATTGTTTGCTTCATTTGGGAATTATGAAAAATGTGATGTACTCCATTCACCAAATCATAAACCAATAGACCAATCTCCCCCCAACCCAACTCCCCATAATGCTTCCACCACAATAACCAATCTTCCCAAAACTATGCTCACCAAGAAATCCAACCAAATAGGTGCCAATCAAAGTGCCTGAGCTTCGTAGTGACCCTTCAGTCATTGTACCACCAAAGTAAAAAACTTCAAAAAAATCCCATCCGGAGGAAACAATGGGACCTAAAACACGATCGACTTGGCGTGTTGCCACTTTGGCAGCTCTTGTTGCCGCTTTATTCTCTTCTTTAGTTGCCTCTTTTGTAGACATCCCTTGAGAAACAGCATCAGTAAGAGCACCTTGCATTGCTACGCTCTTTGCTCTATCCACATGAGAGGTTCTAATGCTGTAAGCATAAAGCTTTATAGCCTCCTTGGCTACGCACGCAATGCTTCCACTCCCCCCATCTAAACAATACATGATGTTGAACTGCCCAGTTTTAGATGAAGCTTCTTTACCAACCATCTTCCGACATCTTTCGGCTATAAAAATAACAATGTAATTTGTTCAAAATTAAAATGCAACTAGTGCAAGAAACAATCATTACAGTAGGTGATTCGATGGTGATGAAATAACTACAAACTTTGTCTCTATACTTAAAGTCTATCTTTGACTTTTACATCCTTCTATCCATCTTGGACCATTATCATTTACACTTCAGTAAACTAAATATTTCTAAGGGAAAAGGTACAAATATACCTTGTATGAGTATGAGTATGATAACAAATATACCCATGTTCTATTTTTTTGAACAATTATACTATTGAAGTATATGTTGAAGTGAATTTATACCAGTGCACTTTTAAAAGTGCAAAAATAACCCTCATGTTCTTATAAAAGAGCAAATTTGAACTTATCAACTTTAAATAGACAAAAAATTCAAAAAACACCAAAAATAAAAATATAAAGTAAAAAAAAAAGATTATTTTTGAAATTTATTTTATCAATTTAAAGTCGATAAGAATATATTTTCTCGTTTATAAGAACATGAGAAATATTTTTGTATCTTTTAAAAAGTTCAGGAGTATATATGCACTTCCACATATACTTCAGAGGTATATTTGTTCAAAAAAATAGAACATGGGTATATTTGTTCTCACACACATACTACAGGGGTATATTTGTACCTTATTAAATGAATTCTTATTCCAACAATATGCAGTCATATATATTGTTCAAAGGTATTGGAGGTTATATCCTTTAATATATTTTTTGCAAAATTAATGATCAAAATCAACAAACTTTCATTAAGGTAGTATCGTTAAGGTAGTTTACGATTTAAACATGACTACATGTCATTCTTAATTTAGAAATTGCTCAATATAAGACTAAAACATACACAAAGTTCAAAAATATGATTAAGTATATTTTATTTCCTAAATAGGACTTATTTAATCCTATTAAAAGAACAAGTTGATTATAATTTCCCAAACTAGGAGAGTTCTATTTAGGGAATAAAACATTGATAGTACTATGTATGAATTTTATCATTATTTTATTTTAGTCCTACTTAGAGAATTTTCTCATTCTTAATTTTGTTTCGAATAGAGAATTAGAGATGGATACAGTTTTGGCAAAAAGCCCTCACTAAAATAGGCATATTTATAGCTAGCGCATGTTCATGCAACTTCTCTTAAGGCCTTGTGTAAGACTAGTTATTCATTGTTAGTCGTTTTTTACAGGTCAAATATAAAAACACAAAGTCACATGCTAGACTGGCGTATATTATGATAGAAGCGAGTCTTTATTGTTTTTTAATGAAACACCTAGAATTGAATGATCTAAACAAAGTAATGAATTTTATCAGCTACATGCTCTATTTCTTCTTGACCTCTCCACATTGTTAGAAAAACTGCGAATTTGTGCAAGAAGATTGGTTATAAATTGAACTTACAACCTCATAATGTTTGGGAATAAGATATAACTTCCTCATTTACTAGGGATCATCAACAGGCTGAATTGGACCACATCAGCCCAAAACTAATGGTTCCGGGCCAAACCGGGCTGGCTCAATATATAAAAATTTGTACTACTAGCCTTCTATATAGTTTGGCATAACCACTACAAAAAAACAACGATTTTGGCACGCATTTGGCACGGAGCTTTGGCACGGATTTGCCAAAATCATAGGGTATTCAGCACGGATTTGTCACGGATGCGTTAAACCTGTGCCAAATTTTGTGCCAAAAATTAGTTAGAGTCCGTGCCAAACTCGTCCAATTCGTGCCTCTTTCGATGTTTTTTTTGTAGTGAACGGGTCGAACTAGGTTGACCTACATGTAACCTAAATAGGGTTGGGCTTAAATGGGCTTACAATAAAAATACAAAAACTCTTATGCATTACAAAATACAATGTAATCAAGTAATGAGTGAAAATAGTTTATTACTCCAAAATTGTAATAACAAATTGAATATTCATATTATAAATATCTAAGTTTTTGGTGTTGCGCTCTTGAAAATTAAAAAGGGTGTACAAATATGAAAATACCACACTTATTCTTCTTTATCTAAACTTCTCAATTAAACTCTACCACAAAATATTATCACCTAACTATCATCCACAACTTCATTCTCTTCTACTATTACACATTACTTATACCAAGTATATGTTACTATATGGAACAGTATATAAATTTAATAATGTATAAAATGGCTTTTAGGCTACGCTTCAGTTGGGATTAATAGGCTAGGACGGAATGGGTATTGGCTCTTGACAGGTCGGGCCAGTTGCCGGACCGGGTTTCAAATACTCTCCACCCCAAACTCACCCTTTCAAATAGTCGGTTGGCCGGGCTGGGCATTTTGGGAATTAAGATAGGTAGTCCCCATGGCTCATGAGCCCACGGGCTAAATGATGAGGCCTAAGTTACACCTAGCTGACACTCAACCTAAAAGATTTAGCAATAAGAAATGCAGGTAGTTTAAATAATGTTTCAAAACTATTGATGCCAAAAACTTCTACATTCATCAATTCAAATTTATACCTACGAAACAAAAAGTAGCTACAAACTAAAATCGAAAAAATTTAGTTATGAAATTCAAACGTGAAAATACAACATTGCAGGCGGTTTGAAATTTTGAATTGAATAGTATTTGACTTCAAAGAATGTGCATTTTGGTTCAGATTTCAATATGAAAAGGCTTAAGGGTTTCAAAGAAAAATCATACAGCCCTACAACATGGATTTAATCACAAAGCCACTAGCTTAATCACCTCAATGTATACTATAGTTCACTAACAAAGATAAAAAATAAACACACTTAAATACTAAATAAATGTAGATGAATACAAACTGATACGAGTATTTATGTTCTACTGTTAGCAGCAAATCTGCATGTAACCGCAATAGAATGTTAATTCATTTAGTGACACTACTTCAGTTATTAACCTTGCTGGTTAAATGCTTGGATGCCACAATCCAGATATTCAATAAACTGAGTTCAAGTAAACTAATCTATATTATATTCACCAATAAAAATTTCTCAAAGAATGAAAATTTCGATCTCTCCTAACAATCCAAACAAGAAGACAATCCCAAATTTCAATCTTTTTTTAGTGCAACGGGTTATTACACATTAAATTTGATGTTACATATCTCAATATGTTAGGAACTTATATGGCAATTTATATCTGAATGCAGATGGTTTAACACCATTATCATAATATTGAATTCCTGAAATAATGAATAGTTTCTATAAATTGATTATTTCTATGGAATACCAATACAAAGAAACCTTGGAATTGAAAAGATCAAACCAAAACGTTTGTATACCTGTAGTGCTGAGACTGGCTACGGCAACAATGGCGAGGAGTAATTGAACCCTTTTCTTTTTCATCATTATATTATTGATCGATTTAATCCGTATTATGTGAAGGTGACTATGGATAAATTTTCTTGTTAGAGAAGAATCAAATGAAAACATCTTCAGTTTAATTTTTAAAATTCATTTCATGTGGGTATCTGTATCTACATTTTAGAGAAGATGTAGAGTTTCTGGACCGGCTCAGACCTCAATCACCATAGCCCAAGGGCTAGCTCACCATTCACCACCAAGGAGTCAACAAGGGAAACCAGAGGGCATCAAGTCTCGAACGCTCAGTTTAGTGCCCAACCCCCCAGACCGGACTGCCCAGAAAAACCCCACCGGAGAGGAACCCCCCAAACTACCAGCACAGAGTGAAGCCCACAGAAGGATCCCCAAGGTATCACAGGAGGGTAGCCGGAGCTCAAACCCTAGATGATACCGGCACTCTCTCACTCTAGGACTGGGGTAACCGGAAAGACTTCTCATCGGATAGAGAGAAGGAAGGGGCGATCAAATAGGTGGTTCCAGAAGGAACCAGACAATATAAGAGAAGGGCCACAGGAGTCACGGGCTTGGGCAAAGACAAAAGGGGGCGTATGGGCTGAGTCAGGTGGACAGCCCAACGAGGGCCAGGCTAATTAATAGCAGACAAGGCTATTAAATGGGATGGGCCAAGGATCCAGTGAGGTGGACCAATACCTACTCACAATCTCCACCTTATTGGTCCCCCTGGTGGTGTAGAGCACAACGTGAATGGGAGTATCATCATCGCCGGTTTTGTACCTGTTCTTATCTAGCCACAGTCTAAATTAAGAGTTCGTTTACAGGATAAAAGTTTTTCAAAATTGAGACATTTAGTCCCCATATCAGCTGGATTGAGTTCAGATGCAATCTTGCATAGTTTGATATCACCTGCATCAACAATGTTCCTTATAAAGTGAAATCTGACATCTATGTGTTTTGTCCTGTCATGGAAAACTGGATTTTTGCACAACTGGATGGCAGACTGGCTGTCTGAGTATACTGTCACGCCCTGCTTAAGAAAACCAATTTCAGTTAGCAAACGTTTCAGCCAAATGGCCTCTTTAAAGGCTTCAGTTGCTGCCACGTATTCAGATTCAGTGGTGGACAGTGCAACAATAGGTTGCAGTTGGGATTTCCAACTTATGCAGGATCCACAAAGAGTAAAGATATAGGAAGTAGTAGACTTTCTATTGTCCCTGTCATTAGCATAATTGGAGTCCACATAACCAGTAAGAAGGATTTCAGAAGGAGTCTTAGAAAACACAAGGCCATGGGTGGAAGTACCCTTAAGGTACCTAAGCAACCATTTCAGAGCAGTCCAATGTGGCATTCCAGGGTTGGCCATATATCTACTTAAGCAACTGACAGCATAGGCAATGTCAGGCCTAGTGCTTACCATGAGATACATGACCGACCCTATAGCATTGGAATAGGGAACAGATTTCATCCTATCAATTTCAGGGCCAGTCTTAGGAGACTGATCCTTACTTAAAACAAAATGAGATGCTAAAGGAACATCTACAGGTTTGGCAGAATCCAGGTTAAACTTTTTCAAGACTTTTCCTAAACAGGAGGTTTGATTTAGGGTGAGAGTACAGCTACTTCTATCCCTAACAATGTTGATCCCTAAGATCCTTTTAGCATCTCCCAAGTCTTTCATGGCAAAGTTTTTACTAAGGCAATTTTGAACAAACTTAATAACACTCACAGAAGGACTGATAAGCAACATGTCATCAACATATAACAACAAGAAAACAGGTACAGAATCAGTGTTCTTAAAATACAAGCAAGGGTCAGAATCAGACCTTTTGAAACTTAGGGAAGACATACACTGATCAAACTTTATATTCCATTGTCTGGGAGACTGTTTCAGGCCATAGAGGGCCTTTTTAAGCAAACAGACATGGCTAGGGTTCTTAGGGTCTCTGAAACCCTCAGGCTGGGTCATGTATATCTGTTTATCTAGGTCACCATGCAGAAAAGCAGTGGTAACATCCATCTGCTTCATCTCCCAGTCATTATGGGCAACTAGGGCAAGCATCATCCTAATTGTGGTGAATTTTACTACTGGAGCAAAAATTTCAGCATAGTCTATCCCTTCCTTTTGAGTGAAACCTTTGGCCACTAACCTAGCCTTAAACCTAATGTTGTTAGGTTCTTCTTTAACTTTGAAAAGCCATTTACACTCAACAACAGAACAATTTGGGGTTCTAGGAACTAGGGTCCAAGTTTTGTTCAACTTAAGGGAATCTATTTCACTTTGCATAGCACTAAGCCAGTTTTTAGATTCTCTAGAGGCAAGGGCTTCCTGGTAGGTTCTAGGTTCATTCAAATCAAGGGTTTCAAAAACAGAGAATGCAAACAAGGAAGTATCATGCAGATGAAAGGCATATTCAGTCATACTATCAGATATTTTCCTAATGTTCCTTCTAGTCCTATCTCTGGCTAACTGATAATCAGCTAGGTTGTCATTCTCAACATGGGTTTCACCACGTTCATCATTATCAGATTGAACAAGCACATCATGCAAACCTTCATTACTATTACCAGTTTCAGTGGACTGCTCCACCTCAATGGAGGTAGAGGAGGTTTTATGCAAAGTGTTGGTCAAGTCAGAAGCATCAACAGATTCAAATTCATTGCAAAGGGGTGCAGTAGCAGTCTGGATAGGCTCCACCTCACTAGGAGTGGTGCTATCAGAGTTAAGTTCAGGGTCAGTTACATTGTTCAGTAAGCAAGGAAAGTCAGATTCATTGAACACAACATTTCTGCTAATTATGACTTTAAAACCAATCTGATTCCTATCCCAGACTCTATAACCTTTTACACCTTCAGGGTAACCTAAGAAAATGCACTTCTTAGACCTGGGGTCTAGCTTGTCAATTTGTTGGTGCACATAGGCAGCACACCCAAACACTTTTAGGTTTGATAGGTCAAGGGGTTTCTTAGAGAAGACAGACTCAGGACACTTCCCCTCTAAAGGCACTGAAGGGGATCTGTTTATCAGGTAGGCAGCAGTGTTCACAGCCTCTCCCCAAAACTTCTTAGGGAGCCCAGAGGTTGCTAACATACTCCTAACCTTGTCAAGAAGGGTCCTATTCATTCTCTCAGCCAAACCATTTTGTTGGGGAGTATAGGGCACAGTTTTGTGTCTCCTAATCCCACTCTCAGTACACAGCCTATCCATGTCCCTATTGCAGAATTCTAATCCATTGTCAGTTCTAAGGGTTTTAACCCTACATCCAGTTTGGTTTTCTACCATAATTTTCCAGTCTTTAAACCTACCATAAACATCAGACTTATGTTCTAACAAACAGACCCAGACTTTCCTAGAAAAGTCATCAATTATGGACAGAAAGTACCTCCTACCCCCATGGGTAGGGACACTGGAAGGGCCCCACACATCTGCATGTATGTAGTCAAGAACAGATTTAGACTTGGGCTCATTAGAATAACTAGAGACAGGAAACTGAACCCTATGTTGTTTACCTAAGATACAACCCTCACAGAATGGTATAGGTGACACTAAGTCAGTTCCAAAACACCCAGATTTTTGTAGAATGTTCAAACCTTTGTTACTCATATGACCAAGTCTTTGGTGCCAAAGCACAGACTTGTCAGTGAGTACAACATTAGCATTTTCAAAAAATGGTTTAGCATGAACAACATACAAGTTATTTTGTTTCACAGCTTTGAATAAAACAAGAGAGTTTTTCAAGATTTTCATGCACCCTCTCCCCCATTTACCCTCAAGGCCACATTCTTCAAAAGCAGAAACCGAAAGCAAATTATGCCTAAGATCAGGGACATGTCTAACATTTTTTAACTTGAAAGCAGTTCCATTTTCAAATTTGAGACTTATGTCACCCATACCATGAACCTTACACTTTTTACTATCAGCTAGGGACACATAACCCGAATCACAAGTACTATAAGAAGTAAACAAGTTTTTAAAAGGTGTCATGTGGTAGGTACAACCTGAATCCATCAACCATTCAGACTCAGTTAGATTGCTTAGGACAGAGTTAACCTGATCACAAACCATAAACACTTCTTCACTAACATCTTTATTGGTCACTGAGTTGGCCTGTTCATTTCTTTTGGGTTGGGTACAATCTTTTATGAAGTGACCTGGGTTCCCACAGTTATAACACACTCTTTTCTTTGACTTATACCTTTTCTTACTAGGTTGTCTACTGTTTTTATCTTGGTTATCCTTCCTAGGGTACCTAGACCTACTCTTGGATCTGCCCCTAACAAAAAAGGCTTCACCAGAGTCCTTAGAGTGATTATTGTGACCCCTAGAGTGTCTTAAGTCAAGCTCTTTGCTTTTTAGGCCATTAATTACAATATCAAGGGTTATATCATCCCTCCCATATTTAATGGCTGACTTAACATCATTATAGGAATCAGGAATAGCATTAAGAAGGACAATAGGGGTATAATCATCAATATGTTTATCCCCAGCTTGTTTTATGTTTTGGATCAATTTTTGAAAAACATCTAGGTTTTCCTCAATGTCTTTAGTTAGGTCAAGTCTGAACCTAAAAAATTTTTCCAATAAAAACAGTTTACCAGGAAGGGAGGTGTCAGTATAAGTGGACTCAAGTTTATCCCATAAGGCTTTGGCAGACTCAAGGATTCCAACTTTCCTAAGGACAGAGTCAGACAAGTTCAAATATATTGTGGAACAGGCTGTTTCATTCATCTCGGTTTGCTTAGACTTATCCTCAGACTCTAAGAACTGACCAGTGACAGCCCTATACACTTTTTGTTGAATGAGGACACACTTTATCTTTTGTTTCCAGATATCAAAGTCTGATTTACCATTAAAGGGAAGCATACCATACATATTAGAAGTCATGGTAAACAACAACCAAACACAGTTAATGAGCCAAGTGTAATGCAGGGGCTTAGCCCTAGAAGGTTAGGCTGCGGACTAAGGGACCACGCAGATCCGGGGCCACTGAGGTGGCTGGCAGGGAATCCCCTAGCCCTAACCTCAAGTGCCTTAGCCAACTAGGGTTTTACAGCCAAAGTATTACAATGGATCACAAACTAACAACACAAGTAAAAGAGTA